ATCGGAATAAGTGTGTATTTTATGAATCAAATGGCCAGACAAGAATCTATCTTTTACTGTACGTCGATGACATCATCATCGCTGGTAACAATCGGAATCGAATAGACGAAATAAAATATCTCTTAGAAAACCGATTTTCTATGAAAGATTATCGGTTCATTAAAAGGCTTTCTTGGAATTAGAATTGAACGTGATGAACACGGAATAAATATTAATCAAACTACTTACTTAAATAAGCTGTTAAAACGTTTTGGAATGGAGGATTGTAAACCTGTACGAACTCCAATGGAACCAAAATCAGTTGATCACTCATTACAGTCAAATGCGACGGAAAATACAATTCACCCATATAAAGAGCTAATTGGATGTCTCATGTACGTAATGCTGAACGCTAGACCGGACATCAGTGCAGCGGTCAATTATTACAGTCGATTTCAAGGGACAGCAACTGACGAACACTGGAAAGGACTCAAACGAATTTTAAGATATCTCAAAGGAACGGTGGATACGAGCCTGAGATTCTGCAAGAAACGGAACCCCATCATTACTATCTACGTTGATGCGGACTTGGGAGGGGACAGTGACAGAAAATCAACAACCGGTTTTTTGATCGAGGTTTATGGAAATCCAGTCTGCTGGGTGACGAAAAAGCAATCCACAGTGGCCCTATCTTCAACCGAGGCGGAATACGTGGCTCTGGCCAATGCGTCAACCGAAACAGTATGGACACGAAATCTACTCGGAGAGCTCGGAAGGAAGCCGGAGGGACCAGTCGTTGTGTACGAGGACAATCAAGCATGTATACACCTACTCAGTAAATGGGAACACCAAAGACTAAAGCACATACATAGATATAAAGTACAATTTTATTAGAGACTTATGTAGCAACGGTATTGTTAAAGTGATATACTTTCCTTCAGAACATCAAAAGGCTGACATGTTAACTAAAAGTTTGTCAGCGATTAAGTTTGAGAAATTAAGGAATTTGTTTAACCTAAAGTAATTTTTTTTTCTCGTAAAGGATAAAGTCCTAGTATAAGTTTTTTTGTTTATTCTAATTGTAAGTTAACTCTACGTACAAATTGAGGGGAAGTATTGGGAGGACACTTTGTCTGTCAGAGGGCGCTGGTAGACGGCGATCTTTCTTTTTAATGTGCGTTACGCGCTATGTATGTTTCCTGGTTTTCCGCGCTGTTCTTGCCCTTGCCTGCGTCGTGAGAGCACACGTTTATTGTAAGCTACAGATATATTGAAGAAGCAGAGCTTGTAACAACTTCATTGTGACTCCTTCTTCCACCACATCCGAAACCAAGCTATCCCGAAAACTACAACGAAACCTCAACAAAACATAAAAGATATGTTTATATATACACAATTCTATTTCATATTATTCTTTAATAGTTTCTGTCTTTATAAAAAATGTCCTGTACATACTTTGCAGAGATTGAATGATTGGGAATATGCTACTCGTGCAAAATATAGAAAAAAATGTGAAAATGTATAAAATAAAAAAGTGTTCAGAAAGTCATCTACTACTTATTTTAATATGTAAAGGAATTCTTGACTTTGATGGATTGTAATGAGGTTCAATTCTTTGAATTAAATTTATAGTAGACTGGTGGTCTAATCTATACATTTGTTTGAAATGCGAAGGAGGAATATTAAATGTGTTTGAACTATCTTTTACACGTCTTCTTACAATACGCATGTAGTTTCTAAAAAATAGGTTATAATCAGTGACATTAATGATTAATACATTTTTCTTACATTACCTGTTGTATTCTTCTTCAATCAATAGTCCAATATACAGGGTGTACCTAAACTGGCAATAAATATTTTAATGACAACTACTTTGTAACATTTTGAGACGAAAATTCTAATACGAAAAAGTCGAGGCTATAATAGTTTTCAAATGGAAACAGTTTAAACATCTCGAATAGCAAAGCTAGAATTTCGCGCGCTCAGGGATGGCAAAATGGTCAGTGATAAAGGTGCTTTCTTGAACCACCTGTCTTTGACATAAATGAAATTAGTGTAAAAATGTATGCAAGAGTTTTATTAAGAAACTATTTCTGTTTATTTGCAATGAATTTTAGAAATAGTTAAAAATTTTTTGTTCAATAGTTCAAATCGATATTGATTTGTGTCAACTGTCATAAGCATATCTGTTTGGTTAAATTGCGACAAATTTCATCGTGGAGATTTACCAATTTAACCAAATAGATATGCTGATAACA